ACATTAAATGCGTTTCATCAAATTGTCACTTCTTATCTGATCAAGGAGGCTGCTTATCACCTTTAAGACACCAAACGAAAAAAATTGTTGTGTGAGTTAATCAGAAATGACTTTATTTCCAGACTTCACATATTTCGAGATATTTACTTATCTTTTCTATAACAAAAATTATATCTTTGTTACTTTTTGATGTACAAGTATTGAAGAAGCTTTTTATTCATTTTGATATGTTAAAGAATAATATAAACAACCATGATTTCATTATCAGACATCATAAATGATATATGTTAAATGCATTTCTCTTATAAATGAAGTGGTTCGTTTGAGAGAATACAATTCATTATAACCAATCTTTTATTCTAATTTATCGTATAGTATGATCTAAAACAATTTCATTAAAAAATGTCTAAATTTGTTAAGATTAAAACTAATACCATGAAGAATTCAAAATCATCTTTTGATCTAATAATAATATTTATTTTTTATTTTTTCAAAAAACTTATGTATAGTGAAAAGCCAAAGCATATTAAAGAAGTACATTTGTACTTCTAACTTTAATAATAATACAAGTATATATTTTGTTTTATTAATTTTTTACCTCTTTAATTTTATAATTTGAATTCATCTTTAGTTTCTTAACTTATTGTTGAATTTTGTCTTTATTAACTTGTTTCTTTATAATGTTTTGGTCTCATTTTACGTCAATAAATAATTTTTAATACCTTATTTAGATAAACATTTTATTCTTATTTTTCATATACATAATAATCACCATTATCTATTTTATTTTTAAATAAATTATTTCACATTGATGTCCTAAATCCGCCATTACTTATATATATACCACTTACATCTATTTAAGAAATAATAATACAATTTTTATTTTATAAAAAAAAGTAACTTAAAAGGATGGTAAAATGAGTTGATTCAATCTTTTAGATTCACTTTGTTGTCAACTCATTAAAAATGGATTGAGTCAGAGTGGTCTGTCAAGTGAAAGTTGGTTGAACACTATGATCTTGTCTGCCTTTATGTGAATTGGCATGCTGGTGGGTCATCTTGCCAATTTTTTTAAAAAAAATATAAAAATAAGTTTGCATATTTATTTTGGATACCTCTTTCTATATATTTATTTTTTCATATTTAAAAGATCCATGTAAATTAGTATATTTAAATAATAAAATAAATCACAAATTATAATAGATTAATCTAGTTTGTTGTATAATAAATAATTTCAAATTTTCTTCATAATATATATATATATATATATATGTGTGTGTCTGAAGCTATAATAAAAAAAATAATTTTTCAGTAAATTCGATGCACAAAAAATATGAAATTATATATAAAGATAAATAAAATACAATAACATATTTGTTGTACAATAATTAAAAATTAAATATACAATAAATCTTATATGAATTATTTAAATTTAATAATAAAAATAAAATAATAATAAAAAAATTAGACAGGACCGACTGGTGAACTTGTAAGTATTTAGGCATTTTACCATCCGTAGCTAAAATGAAAGAATGGGAGGTAACGTTTGGTAGCGAAACGGGATAGAAACGAAATGGAACAGAACAATAATGTATTTATATTGTGTTTGGTAACAGTAAAATAGAACGAAATCATATTCTGCGTTTGATGCTTGTTGAACAGAACAAAACACTGTATTTAATGACACACACATATATATATATAGGGAGCATATCAAGTGAGAGAGAATTTATTATGAGAGATGAGAAGGTTAAAATATAACCATATATATATATATATATATATATATATAATTTTTTCTTTATTGTAATTATTGTTATTTTAAAGTTATGAGGATTGGAAGCTCCTTGAGAGTTAAATTATTTATTAAATGATCTTAGTTAAAGTTAAATTTAGTCAG